CATGCCCTGTTGAAGCAGAGCTGGAAAAATTCCGTCTTCCCCTGCTGATTTAAATGGTTTGAATTTTTTCAAAGCCCATCTAATCTGGTTAGGCCTAAAAATGGTATTGGCCATCTTCCAGTCGCAACTATTTGCCCTGTGGATGTAGTTTTCCTTTGGGTTTAATTCACTGCCGGTGACAGGGTACGATCCTGGGAAATGGGTTGCTCTTAAAAGTTCCAGCGTCTCCATCTCTGTGGTCGTGAAGGAATCGTCTCGCTTTTTTAAAAAGCCGAGAAAGATGTTTGGTGTCTTGGCAAGGACCTTGTGGATTCTCGCTCCTTTATGTGTTTGGGCGATATTCTCACAGAATCGTTTCCAAGATGCTCTTTTAGCTTTTCTGATCTCTTTGTGGTATTTAGTCAGAGCCTTCTTATACCGTTCCCACCCATACGGTGTAGTGGCCTGATTAAATAAGCGACGTGTGGAAACTCTAAGTCGTTCTAGCTTTTTGTTCCACCACGGAGTATTGTTGTTAACCTTGAGTTCCCTGACAGGACAGCTATTTTCATAGGCATTTAAGATGCCATCCGTTAATAAGTTGTTTAAAATGTTAAGGGAGTCGGGTGTCTTGATTGTTTTTGGAAAATCCTTAGCTGCCTCAGCGAGCAGGTTTTTGAAGTCTACCCACGAGGTGGCTTTGGGATTTCTAAGCCTTTTAGGCTCAGTAGTTATTGAGCCTTGTATGCTAAAGACAATATGTTTGTGATCGGACAAAGAGTTTTCATTACTGACATGCCATTTACTTATGTGTTTAGCGATTTGTTCAGTAGCAAAGGTAATATCCAGAACTTCCTGCCTAGCTTTGGTAGCGAAGGTTGGATTACAGCCTTTATTGAGTATTTGTAGATCGTTAGCTAGGAGAAAATCTAAAAGTAACTCACCTCTTTTGTTGGTACCAGTACTGCCCCAGATTGTGTGATGGGCGTTTGCATCGCAGCCAACAATTAATTCTGTCTTGTGTTTTCGAGCGTAGTCGACGACTTTAGACAGTTCTTCGGTGGGGTTGGCTTTCTCTCCGGGCAGGTAGGCCGAGCACACCAGTGCTCTAGTTTGACCACGCCCTCTGAGAACGGTGATTGCAGCGACCATGTCATCACTGCAAAGTTCTGTAACAGGCAAGAAATTTATACCTTTCTTAAAAACGATACAGGCCCTAGGCTTGGTGCCATTTTCGTTAGCTAGGATCTTACCTACTCCACTTAAGCTCGAAATCTTGGACTTGGCGTTAAGCCATGGTTCCTGAACCAGCGCTATATCCATGCCATGTGCTCTAAAGGTGTTTTCTGCCACGGCTGTGGCAGCGATAGCGTGGTGTAAGTTGGCCTGGAGTATGTTGGTATGGGCATCGCCAGTTTGGTGTGTTGCACTACTGGGGACGAGCCCCATTGCGCTTGTCACGTCCCTTGCTGCGGCCCTTTTGTTTATGGGGGCGCTGGCTCTTGCCTCTGGGGGTTTGTCCACCCCTGGTGTGCCCCCCTGTATGAGGAAACCTGTGCGGAGTTCCAGTCGTTCCGCTGGTCCCGGCCACAGGAGCCACGCCAGGTGCAGCTGCACCAGATGGTGAAGGCGCAGCAGCGTTGGCGCTCGCTCCAGCAGCCGCGGCCCCAGAACGAGAGGTAGACGGCACAGGTCCAGAGGCAGAAGTCCCAGGATTGGGTGTGGGCTGGTTGATGCCCTTAATCCGGAACTGGACAGACTTGAAGGCCAAGTAGGCTTTCAGGTCGGTTTTTCGGAGGGTCTCAACAGACTGGTCGTCGATGGAGAGGGTGAGTGTGATTCCGCCCTTCTCCGCCTTTTTGTTGAGAACCTTCCACAGTTCCGTATTGAGGCCATCATTTTGTATCCGGAGACAGGAGAGCGCTTGGGCGACGTCTTTTGACTCCGGATCGGGGATGTATACTACCCCAACCTTTGGTTTGGGCAAGTCACTCTCATTAATGAGAGCGAGCTTAGCTCCTGGCCACGGCTGTAAGGTGGGTATACAATTTTCAAGCCATTCCCTGGCGTGCTGGTTGATGCAGGTAATGAGCAGCCAGCCTGGCTTGAATGATAGCCCGCCAAAGGCAGGTCCCTTACCCTTCTCCGAAGTGGTGATTTTGGCCACGATCGCATTATAAAGTGACTGCAGCTGTGCGTCAGTCATGGGAGTGGAGTCCCTCACACCAACTTTGGAGGAAGATAAGGCCGCACTATAGGCAGCTGGAGGTGGTGGGGCCGACGGTGCTTCGCTCGACCTTTGGGACTTCCTCACTGGTTGTCCCTGTGGTGATTCCTCCTCCGAGCGGGTCCTTTTGATGGAGCGCTCGGGTTCGGGTTTCGAAGCATCGAATCGATACCCCATAGCCCTGAGTTCCGCAAAGGTTTTAGCGGACAGTTCGTAGGCTTTTGCAGCCTCCACTCCCTGTCCCCTAAGAGCCTTAAGGCGGATTAAGGCTGCCCCACTCAATCTTTTACGTTTGGGTCGGGCAGCATCAGAGGAGGTGGCAGCAGGGTTACCAGTAGGTGATTCAGGGCTTGTAGAAGCCCCTATCGCCATTTCGGTGCCTGCAGTCACCTCCATTGGTTGCGCTGACATTTGGGCGGTTTCATCCGCACCCATTGTCAGCGGCATGAGGTCCTGGCACAATTCGTCCAGGGTTTGTGACGTGGTAACGTCATTTCTATTTTTGTTGTTTTGGTCCTTACTCATATAGGTCCCACGAGCAGCTAGGGAAATAAAAATGCCCACCGACAGAGCCCCGCATGTCGATGGGAGGACTTAAAATACTATCCGATTCGTCCAGGTGTCGGATAGCCACCGTTAGCGACTGAGCTCCCCCCCAGCCACGCATCCCTCGGCACGGTACGAATAACACCTTGGATTGGGTTCTAAACTAAAGCTATATATATACGTACATATATACTTCATAGACACACTTACATAAACATACATAAACATACATATATAAATAAAAGCGAAAGCAAGCGCTCGGTGTTTTCTGTTGCGTCTATTTCCTAGTGAACTAGACCAATAACAGGGCTGGCAACCTCGTGAAGGATAGTACACCGAACTTGCCTTGGGGATCTTTGCGACAAAAGCGTCACTCTCCCCCAAGACCAACGCCACCCCACCGTCTCTGAAGGAGACAGTAGGGTAGGCCTGCGCCTACACTACCATGCGAAGCATGTCGTAAGGGAACCGTGAAAGCATAGATTCAGGCCCGCCCCAATAAATGCTATGCTATCAGTCTTATAAATCATCTAATTATTACCCAAGTATTATATATAATAATCAGCTTTTATACTATAACGTAAGTAGAATTATGATTTCATGAAAAGGGTGTCTGGCAAGGGTTTGCCACGATGTTAAGCGTCTGGCATTGAATCACGTGATTTTTAATAATATTCTGAAGGTAATACCAAAAATTCGCACTTTATTATTTGACGAATTTCGATCGGTATTTTACAAACCTTTAGTAGCATGTACCTGCCAAAGCCACCATAGCCTGAACTTCATAATGGTCCATCATTCTTATCTGTGTTGGGAGCATGCGCTGACAAACTTTCAGCTTTTATAAAATGACGAAGGTCTGGCGTTCACAGGCTCTTAGGCCATGATGACATAAGGATATTGTTATTTTAGAAAAAGTATAAGTCACAACTTAGCCTACTTTTATTTTAAAAAACGAATTAGGGTTTCGCTAAAGAAATTAAAACGTACCTAGGAACGCACCCGCGAAAGGCAAGGGTATGTCGCTAGTAATATTATAAATTAAAAAAAAAAACTCGCTCATACTAATGAACAGATTTCGATAAAATTTGCAAAGGATATAAAAAACTTCCTGGGGTCGGATATAGGCTGCCTTCGATGTCCGCCCTACGTACCACGCGAGCGAAACCACGGACTAACACTAGTAGTCTATAAATAATATGCCGCAAAATTAATTGTAATCGCTCCAAATACATTTGCTAGTTCCAGAGATATGTAATTGGGCACAAACAAATCAATAATAATTCTTCCCCTTAATATCAGAATAGTTAGTGTAGAGTTTTTATATAACTTTCAGCAACAAAATAATATCAGTAGCAGTACCACAGGATATACCGACCTAAAAGGAATTAAGAGTAAGCTCTCTATCCTACACACTCTAGCTGTTTGTAAAATATCCTGAAAACCGGTTGCTTTTTGGAGGCGAGAAAAAGGAATAAACCAACAAAGTATTTTAACAATTTATGATACTATTAGGGATGATTTCACAATATTCTCGTATATTCTTTTTGCTCCTTCTGTGGATGGGGTGTGCATTTTGTAATCCTTGTACAAATCAGACATTAAATGTTCCGAGTATAACTTTTCCAAAAGACTGTAAAAATTTTATACTATGCTGGTTGTATAAAGCATATTCAGAACGATGTCCACCAGGAATGTTTTTCGACTTTAAAACAAACGTACGTATTTTATCATTAATTTTGAATTGTAAGAAAACTTAGATCTCAAACTAGCTACTCTATTGTCTCTAAATGTTAACCTTTAAAAGTGGTACTTCACATGTAGAAACTACTTATAATATATGTTATATGTTTAAGCATTTCAAATTCTCAATTTCATACAAAGGAAAACGTAATTGTTTTCTTTTATTATATTAATGTTTTCTTATATTTTCATTTAGAATAAAACTATATTTTCACGTATTTTCGCGAATTTATTTTGATTTTTGGTTCCCGACGTTTTGAATGCTTTACAGCAATCATGGTCTCGGGAAAGACCGAGGTTTTAGCCGTCTCAAAGGTAATTTTATGGGAAGGCACTGTCTGTAATATCTCTAAATCTCCCTCCCGTGACCATGATTGCTGTAAAGCATTCTAAATGGCGGGAACAAAAAATCAAAATATATCCACGAAAAAATCCGAAAAGATAGGTTTATTTAAAATAATTTAATGTTATTATAATTTTTCAGAATTGCGAGCCAATAATCGCAATGAATAATTGCAATATTACACTACCCATAGTGATAATTATTATTCCTTTACCTTATTTATTTAACCACACCTTATGTCCTCCCAACATAACAATTCCTACAATTGCGCCACCCACGACAACTCCCACAATTCCATCTACTTTATCGACACAATTAACTGCTTCGACTGGCATAACTACACCAAGCTCAACACCAGAAGGAACACCGTCAACACCCACTACCGAATTCACCACATCCTCTCCAATGAAAACTTTGCCACCAATTAATACGACAACCACAAGTACGACTACAAGCCAACCTCACACGCCAAATGTAACCACTTCAGAAACAACAACTGGGCCCACTGCAGAAACGACACCTACACAAGGTAGCACTCAACCTAGCACACCTTCGCCAACTAGAACGTCAATAACTTCTACGTCAACTCCATCTTCAACAATAACAACACCTTCCATACCGCCTAATGCAACGGTATCCACGCCTTCATCGGAAGCTACAGTAAGCTCAACACCAGAAGGAACGCCGTCAACACCCACTACCGAATTCACCACATCCTCTCCAATAAAAACTTTGCCACCAATTAATACGACAACCACAAGTACGACTACAAGCCAACCTCACACGCCAAATGTAACCACTTCAGAAACAACAACTGGGTCCACTGCAGAAACGACACCTACACAAGGTAGCACTCAACCTAGCACACCTTCGCCAACTAGAACGTCAATAACTTCTACGTCAACTCCATCTTCAACAATAACAACACCTTCCATACCGCCTAATGCAACGGTATCCACGCCTTCATCGAAAGCTACAGTAAGCTCAACACCAGAAGGAACGCCGTCAACACCCACTACAGAATTCACCACATCCTCTCCAATAAAAACTTTGCCACCAATTAATACGACAACCACAAGTACGACTACAAGCCAACCTCACACGCCAAATGTAACCACTTCAGAAACAACAACTGGGCCCACTGCAGAAACGACACCCACACAAGGTAGCACTCAACCTAGCACACCTTCGCCAACTAGAACGTCAATGACTTCTACGTCAACTTCATCTCCAACAATAACAACACCTTCCATACCGCCTAATGCAACGGTATCCACGCCTTCATCGGAAGCTACAGTAAGCTCAACACCAGAAGGAACGCCGTCAACACCCACTACCGAATTCATCACATCCTCTCCAATAAAAACTTTGCCACCAATTAATACGACAACCACAAGTACGACTACAAGCCAACCTCACACGCCAAATGTAACCACTTCAGAAACAACAACTGGGCCCACTTCAGAAACGACACCTACACAAGGTAGCACTCAACCTAGCACACCTTCGCCAACTAGAACGTCAATAACTTCTACGTCAACTCCATCTTCAACAATAACAACACCTTCCATACCGCCTAATGCAACGGTATCCACGCCTTCATCGGAAGCTACAGTAAGCTCAACACCAGAAGGAACGCCGTCAACACCCACTACCGAATTCACCACATCCTCTCCAATGAAAACTTTGCCACCAATTAATACGACAACCACAAGTACGACTACAAGCCAACCTCACACGCCAAATGTAACCACTTCAGAAACAACAACTGGGCCCACTGCAGAAACGACACCTACACAAGGTAGCACTCAACCTAGCACACTTTCGCCAACTAGAACGTCAATAACTTCTACGTCAACTCCATCTTCAACAATAACAACACCTTCCATACCGCCTAATGCAACGGTATCCACGCCTTCATCGGAAGCTACAGTAAGCTCAACACCAGAAGGAACGCCGTCAACACCCACTACCGAATTCACCACATCCTCTCCAATAAAAACTTTGCCACCAATTAATACGACAACCACAAGTACGACTACAAGCCAACCTCACACGCCAAATGTAACCACTTCAGAAACAACAACTGGGTCCACTGCAGAAACGACACCTACACAAGGTAGCACTCAACCTAGCACACCTTCGCCAACTAGAACGTCAATAACTTCTACGTCAACTCCATCTTCAACAATAACAACACCTTCCATACCGCCTAATGCAACGGTATCCACGCCTTCATCGGAAGCTACAGTAAGCTCAACACCAGAAGGAACGCCGTCAACACCCACTACAGAATTCACCACATCCTCTCCAATAAAAACTTTGCCACCAATTAATACGACAACCACAAGTACGACTACAAGCCAACCTCACACGCCAAATGTAACCACTTCAGAAACAACAACTGGGCCCACTGCAGAAACGACACCCACACAAGGTAGCACTCAACCTAGCACACCTTCGCCAACTAGAACGTCAATGACTTCTACGTCAACTTCATCTCCAACAATAACAACACCTTCCATACCGCCTAATGCAACGGTATCCACGCCTTCATCGGAAGCTACAGTAAGCTCAACACCAGAAGGAACGCCGTCAACACCCACTACCAAATTCATCACATCCTCTCCAATAAAAACTTTGCCACCAATTAATACGACAACCACAAGTACGACTACAAGCCAACCTCACACGCCAAATGTAACCACTTCAGAAACAACAACTGGACCCACTGTAGAAACGACACCTACACAAGGTAGCACTCAACCTAGCACACCTTCGCCAACTAGAACGTCAATAACTTCTACGTCAACTCCATCTTCAACAATAACAACACCTTCCATACCGCCTAATGCAACGGTATCCACGCCTTCATCGGAAGCTACAGTAAGCTCAACACCAGAAGGAACGCCGTCAACACCCACTACAGAATTCACCACATCCTCTCCAATAAAAACTTTGCCACCAATTAATACGACAACCACAAGTACGACTACAAGCCAACCTCACACGCCAAATGTAACCACTTCAGAAACAACAACTGGGCCCACTTCAGAAACGACACCTACACAAGGTAGCACTCAACCTAGCACACCTTCGCCAACTAGAACGTCAATAACTTCTACGTCAACTCCATCTTCAACAATAACAACACCTTCCATACCGCCTAATGCAACGGTATCCACGCCTTCATCGGAAGCTACAGTAAGCTCAACACCAGAAGGAACGCCGTCAACACCCACTACCGAATTCACCACATCCTCTCCAATAAAAACTTTGCCACCAATTAATACGACAACCACAAGTACGACTACAAGCCAACCTCACACGCCAAATGTAACCACTTCAGAAACAACAACTGGGTCCACTGCAGAAACGACACCTACACAAGGTAGCACTCAACCTAGCACACCTTCGCCAACTAGAACGTCAATAACTTCTACGTCAACTCCATCTTCAACAATAACAACACCTTCCATACCGCCTAATGCAACGGTATCCACGCCTTCATCGGAAGCTACAGTAAGCTCAACACCAGAAGGAACGCCGTCAACACCCACTACAGAATTCACCACATCCTCTCCAATAAAAACTTTGCCACCAATTAATACGACAACCACAAGTACGACTACAAGCCAACCTCACACGCCAAATGTAACCACTTCAGAAACAACAACTGGGCCCACTGCAGAAACGACACCCACACAAGGTAGCACTCAACCTAGCACACCTTCGCCAACTAGAACGTCAATGACTTCTACGTCAACTTCATCTCCAACAATAACAACACCTTCCATACCGCCTAATGCAACGGTATCCACGCCTTCATCGGAAGCTACAGTAAGCTCAACACCAGAAGGAACGCCGTCAACACCCACTACCGAATTCACCACATCCTCTCCAATAAAAACTTTGCCACCAATTAATACGACAACCACAAGTACGACTACAAGCCAACCTCACACGCCAAATGTAACCACTTCAGAAACAACAACTGGGCCTACTGCAGAAACGACACCTACACAAGAAAGCACTCAACCTAGCACACCTTCGCCAACTAGAACGTCAATAACTTCTACGTCAACTCCATCTCCAACAATAACAACACCTTCCATACCGCCTAATGCAACGGTATCCACGCCTTCATCGGAAGCTACAGTAAGCTCAACACCAGAAGGAACGCCGTCAACACCCACTACCGAATTCACCACATCCTCTCCAATAAAAACTTTGCCACCAATTAATACGACAACCACAAGTACGACTACAAGCCAACCTCACACGCCAAATGTAACCACTTCAGAAACAACAACTGGGTCCACTGCAGAAACGACACCTACACAAGGTAGCACTCAACCTAGCACACCTTCGCCAACTAGAACGTCAATAACTTCTACGTCAACTCCATCTTCAACAATAACAACACCTTCCATACCGCCTAATGCAACGGTATCCACGCCTTCATCGGAAGCTACAGTAAGCTCAACACCAGAAGGAACGCCGTCAACACCCACTACCGAATTCACCACATCCTCTCCAATAAAAACTTTGCCACCAATTAATACGACAACCACAAGTACGACTACAAGCCAACCTCACACGCCAAATGTAACCACTTCAGAAACAACAACTGGGCCCACTGCAGAAACGACACCCACACAAGGTAGCACTCAACCTAGCACACCTTCTCCAACTAGAACGTCAATAACTTCTACGTCAAATCTATCTCCAACAATAACAACACCTTCCATACCGCCTAATGCAACGGTATCCATGCCTTCATCGGAAGCTACAGTAAGCTCAACATCAGAAGGAACACCATCAACATATACTACTGAATCCAGCACATCCACTTCAATAACATTCGAAACCATACGCACATTACCGCCTCTACCCCCTACTCCTCCTCCTTGCAAATTTGATACAACAAAGTCCCCCCCAAATCCTCCTCCTCAACCTCACGAAAATTTTAAGTGTCGTTTCTGGGAAGTTTTTCGGTACCCCGATCCAAAGGATTGTAGATTTTACTATTCCTGCTTCTATGGAATTATACACAGGTTAAAATGCAAATATGGATATGCATTTAATCCTTATGTTTTGGTAAGCTTCTTATACTTTCATTTTATTTTATATATTTTTTGTTTTATTTACAGTTACGTCTAGGTGATGGGTTATGGCAAAAATAATACGAGATTTTAAATAAAAATACCTTTTCCATTTTTTCCGGGATTTATTTTGATTTTTGGTTCCCGACGTTTCGAATGCTTTACAGCAATCATGGTCACGGGAGAGACTCGTGACCAACTTGGGTCCCTTTACATCAGGAAAATCTTATAATACAATAGCTGATTTTATTGCAACGTCCTTAGAAATTTATATGGCTACCGCGGGCTAAATATTAAGAGATACAATAAAACAATGTACTAGAAAATGGTAAGTCTTAAAAAGGCCTTCAGAAAAGTCCGCAATAATATATGTCTCTCTCCTAAGGTACACTCGCAATAACTATTTTATTATATACTAGCGACTCACCCTCGCTTCGCTCGTGTTCGTTCTTAGCTTGCTTCCTCATATAAACTTTCATCTCCATTTTCACCCCCTTAAGGGATGATTTCCGGGATAAAAAGTACCCTATGTCCTTCCCAGGGTCTCAAAATATCTTCTTACCAAATTTCATCTAAATCGGTTTAGTAGATCCAGAGATTACTCCCTATAACGTCACAATCTGAACTGAGCTGAACCGATTTAAATAAAATTTGGTATAGAGATAGTTTGAGACCCTGGGAAGGATATAGGATAGTTTTCATCCCGTAAAACATGTCTTAAGTGGCTGAAAAGTGGGTGCAAGTTTTAATGGGGAATCATGCATTTCTCAAGTAAAGGATATATATTATTTTTATTTTTTTAAATACTTACCTACTTTACTATAACTCTGTATATACAATGTGCGTTGTACGTATAAATAGTCTATTTTACACTAACCGTTAAAACGTACATACCTAGTTAGTCCATACATACTTATAATAAAATTGTAACTGAGCCGAATACGTACATTAAATATTTTTCTAGAAAATCTTATTGAAATACTCGTAGATACTATTAATCGATACAGAGGTCGAATCTGTAGTCTTTAAAAATTTGGTCTGTCTGTCTGTGACTACATCACGGAAAAACCACTGAAGGGATTTTGATGAAATTTGGTATGATGATAGAATAATACTATTTACAGTGAGAAATTATCTCATCTCTGAGAAATCTATACTAAGCGCTTAAATGTAAGGAAAGACGAACTCGAGCGAAGCGAGGGTGAGTAGCTCGTAGATAATATAATACGACAAAAAATTTATAGCGCTATAGACAGTACCGCCAACTTGAACGGATGTCTTTACTTCTATATTATACTAGCGACTCACCCTCGCTTCGCTCGGGTTCAACTTTCATCCCCATTTTCATCCCCTTAGGGATCATTCCGGGATAAAAATATAAATATTTGAATAAAAATTTAAAAATATATTATTATTATATATTTAAATATATACTTCCCGGGGTCCCAAACTATCTGCTTACCAAATTTCATTTAAATCGGTTTAGTCGATCCGGAGATTACCCCCTACAATGTCACAAACTCACAATTCACAAAGTCATAAACTTTACCTCTTTATAATATTAGTATAGATACATTGACGTATAGTATTAGTATTGTATATGAAAAAAACCATCTTATAGAAATATCACTCAATAGATTACAACACGGTCGTTTTTTCATACCTACGAATATGTCGTATTATCTCTTTAACCATTAGGCCAAATTATATGCAGTAAAAGGGAAAAGTCTTTTGTTTTAAACATTTTAGACGATAAATTTACTTATTTTGATAAGTATTCAGAATTGTTGATAATATGACCAATAAACATGACCTACCGATTTAAATTATTTTTTTAATATAAAAGACTACTTTTTGTGACTTAAATATAATCATATATCTCTCATAAAAAACATAAAAAATCTCATAAAAAAAAACAAATCATATATCTCTCATAGTTAAGGCAGCGTTCGTAAGAAACGTTTTCGTTCGACCGTTCTTTCTCCGACTTACTTTGCAAATCCAACTACCATGAAAAAGTCTTTTCATTCTTCGGGTTAATATAATATAGCCTATGACACTCAGAAAGAACCTGGCTTTCTATTGGTAAAAGAACTTTGAAAATTGGTTCAGTAGATCCAGAGATTAACCCCTACAACATCACAAACTCTACCTCTTTATAATATTAGTATAGATAATTTACTACTATAGAATATAAGCATATTTAATTAATAGTTTGGTTTATACAAATATAACTCTAGGTAACACAACAATGAGTTTGTTTATTAAGCTTTAAGCTTCTACTTTATGAAGATTTATTTTAGTATTGCCTTGATTGCTGAAAACCATTCGAAATGTCGAGAACCAAAAAATTAAATTAAATCCGAAAAGATAGTTTTATTTAAATTTAGAAATTTTAAAATTTCATTTGCTCAAAAGAGAAGATTAATAAGTTAATGTTCATTTTAGACCGTAGTATGGTAGTTGCTAAGCAATAGAGTGGTTTCAGCGCAGCGTCTTACTTTACTTCGCATAGTTTTTAGTTAATTTCCAAGATTAGGGTCGGGTCAAGTATGGATATTGGGGTTTCAAGAAATTGTTAGTAACTGCCTGGAGAACCCTGTAGGTTTTAGTGGGTGGTACTGGCTTCTGTAGCCAGTGAATCTCCCATAACCACCTGTATGTAAGCAGGTGGTATGAGTAAATGTATTTCCCAACATTAAAAAAAAGGTTCACCCCCGTGCCTCGGAAAGCAGCGTTTGAATTGTCGTCCTTTTAGAGTTTGAAAGTGAAAGTAGAAAATGTGTACGCAAATACTTGTGCACTATAATATCTCCTGCGTACATGGCTGTCCATAGCTAATATGTTATTATTTTTATACATTATCTTCGTCAATAGTGAACCAATTTTCATGAATGAACTATACGACAAAATAAATTTCATAGAAAAATCCCACCCTGAAGAGTAGAATTTTAAAGTGACTCTGTAGCCGATTTTACGTTTTACTTACAAAAAGTAATAAACTCCTTCAGCTATTTATAAAATATTTTTTCAAAATTACATCATTTGTTCTAAAATGATTATCTAAAATCATTAATTATTATTTACATTAAACCTGAATGTAAATAATAATCCGTTATGTGTCAGTGTTTTTAAATTTTATATTTATACACTAAAAACTAACTATCGCTTCGTCTGGGCCGCTTAACATTAGTGTACTAAAATTCATTCAAATCTATCAGCCTATTCAGCATGAAGGAGTAACAAACATACACATATAAATATTCGAATTTATTATAGTAAGTAACCAAATTACATTAAAATGTTTTGCTTTTATACAAAAAATCTTTTTGTTTCATGTCACATAGAAATGTATGCCACGATTAGAAGCAAATTGTCATCATTACAAAGATACGACAGTAGAACAAGTTGTTCCGAGTAACGTTTTAAAGACATCAACATAAAATTATAAATGATATGTAGCGAAAAGGAAATGTGAAGAAATAAGTACATCCTGAAGCTATTACAATATAAAGTAAATTAAGTTCGAGATTATACCTAAGAATTCTACCATTTTTTTACATAAAACTACCGTTTTCACATAATTTTTAGTTATAGTTATAATATGTAAATATTGATGTATTTTATATTAATTGTATTAGTTCAATCAATTAAAATGGAAGCATAAATAATTATGTTAAAAAATATATAGATAAACTTCGATGATTATAATTTATTTTAAATATTTTATTAATAGGTAGTTTTATTCTTTTAAATGTTTTTAAATATCAAAATATTTTTTATTAGACAAATCTCGAAAAGATAGTTTTATTTAAAAAATTTTTTTTTTATAAAATGTAAATATTTTAATCTTTAGTTATTATTATTAATCGCAGTCACAGCGACAATAATAATATTTTAGTTGTGACTGCGATAATAGTAACTGTATGAATAATATATTATTATTGATATTATAATGAAGATTTTATGGAGGTTTTATTATGTTATATTATATAGGAAATATATTTTTATAATTTTTTGTTTTAACACAACAACATGAAAAAAATATTCAAAGAATTGCAATGTCATGGTGTGTGCATTATTAGAGATTTCAATGAAAATTGGAATATTTTTAGATATCTCGTTTAGATTTTGAGATAACGCCAGGTGGATTTTTTTACTCAAACTTTTCACTTACTTTTTTTACAACGTATTTATTACTTTTGATATCAACAAAACCAATTATGTTTTAAAACAACCCGGTTCAAGTTATTTTTCTTTCTGTGCAAAGAACTCTGGCAACTAAATAATATTTATGGTAGGTAATAATTATTTTTAGGACCTACCAGAAACCCCACTACCTAAAAACATTTTTTTTAGAGGATGGGTTATTTTCTTTTTTCTTTTATTGCTTATAAATTAAGGTTATTCTTTAATAGTACAGGGAAATAATCACAGTGAATTACTTGTTTAATAAAATAAATAATTCGTACAGTTACTGAAATAGATTCTATTATTTTATATTCATCATATTTATTAAAATTTCATAAAGAAAATAAAATATCATAAAAATAAAATTGATTGTTTCTTTATTTTATTATCATAGATGACAAAATACACAGATTTTACATCAAATTACAGTTTTTAAATAAATAATAAATAAATAATTATTATTATTTTACACAGCCTATTAGTAATACTTGTAGTTAAATATTAATACTTAGAGAATTGATATTTAAAAAGAACGTCATATTATGTCTATAAAAATAAATTATTGAGCACATTTTTCTTCGCCAATGCCACGTACAATAAAAAAATGTGATATTTTCAGGATATATCTTTATTCATTTTTTATCGCTATAACATGACGTTGACAAATATTCAATATCTATAACATATTCGTATCAGCAGTGAGCAGATTCCCTATCGGCAATTTTACGTTTAGAAGTAACATACCAATAATGCCAATATAAAAGTGTAGATCAAAAAACCCATAAACAATAAGTAATTAATAACAGTACCGTTAAAATACTGTTGTTAGTTCTGGAAACAGCCACTAGGGAATTCTAATCAGCGCCAATCAAATTCTAGGTCGTTTATCCTGGTCGTTTTTGATGTCTGCCGATTTACGCCGTGCAGCCGTCGTTACACAGTCCTAGAAAATTTGTTTATTAAAATTTGAAAATATATACGATTATCACCTTGAGGAAAAATAATTTAATATGCATATTAATAGAAGTCTTTTAATTTAACACGTTTTATTAGCTTCAGTTGTAATGAAATATGTACGTAATCAAATCTTTGAAGTCGATTTTAAGCTACGTATAATTATCGTATCGAATTGTAGCCTGTAAGCATTTCATATGCTTCCGCATTAATACAGGCAATACAATAATTTGGTACCATCTCACTGATCTGATGATAGAACCAGGAGGTGGATAGTGGAACTCTTCAATGGCTACTAGCAACACCTCCGAGTTTGGGATCGTTTGATTCGTTTTGACGAAACCCATTCAAAAGCATTTAAATAGGTCTTTTAACTAAGTACAAAATATAATTATTTTAACATGAAAAACGTAAGAGTTGTCAATTTCTTTAAATTAAAAAATATAATCTTACAATATAGGTTTTGATTTAAAAGTTTACTTCTACAATGAGAGCGAAAAGCAAACAAAATTAAATATACCATGCTCTTATTTATTTTTTAGTGTTATCGCCCACTGGTCCGAATATCCTTAAGTGATTTTAAAATAAAAAATTAAAATCAAAATAAACCGAATGCGTAAAAGTGAACTAAAAAGATGGGAACAAGTTAACGTAGGGATACAGTATTCCCCCCCAACGTGCGTTCACCTTCGTCGTCGTGGTGGGGGGGCTCAATAGTGCCCGGCAACCCAACCGGGCGCGAAGCCAAGAAACGCACAGGGAGGTGGCCCACTTCGGTAGGCGGTGGGAGGTGGCCCTCTTCGGAGGGCGGTGTACCATGCGGGTTGCTCCTGGTACTTCTCTGATAACAGAGTGGACCTTGGAGCAACCCCGTGGTTGTTGTGGTCTGCTTTGGCAGACCTGCCGTCGGGGCGTCGTAGTTGAATGCGTAAGCGATCCTGCGACGCCCCATTCAGACGGGGGAAGGCTTTGTTGGGTTTTAGTGGGTAGTACTGGCTTTGCCGGTGAGTCCCACACCTCGTGCGTAAATGCATTTCCCAAGGTTAAAAAAAAAGGATACAGTATTAGGCCGCGCGCACTTTGGATACGTTTTGGTACGAATTTTACTCGTACGAACACGCACGAACACGCACGATTGATCCGCACCTTTCAAGTACTATGTGGGCGCGCAGACTGCGTGCGAGTTAGTCGTACGTATACGTGCGTGTAGTTCCGACGTCCGAATACGATCCGAACTTGTTGGGATTTTAATACGCTTTCGTGCGTTAAAAATTAAAAATGGGTGTAGAAAAATTTATAAACTTAGTTTATGAACGTATAGGTTTGTTTCTTCATACGTTCGTCATTATATGAGTCTTCCATAATATGATGGAATTCACCGAAATCATGTATTTCTGAATATATTTCACGCACGCTGCCGCAGTCTCCGAGTTAATGTAAGAGAATTATCTTGAAGATACAGATTATTCATCGCGCTCCAAAGAGGACTTCACGAGTGCGATGTCACTGAAAAACTACCTATTTGACGGAGAAAAACGTATTCAATGTGGGCACTTAATTCGTACGACCACGATCGTACGTTTACGTACGATCAAAATTCATGTCCAAAGTTCGCGCGGCCTTATGCAATCGGAGACAGCTTACAGAAGTCCGCCATTTTGTCTTCCAAGACGAATCTAACGATGCATGAATCGTCAATGTATGTTAGGCCGTTTAGTATTTACTAGCGTGAATTTGGGATCGGTCATACATACTTACGTATTACGTATGAAATAAATATAAATGAAATGAAATCACATTTTATTCAATTAGGCTTAAACAAGCACTTTTGAATGGTCAATTTAATTCAAATAGCTTCAATTTCAAATTTAAATCAAATATTCAAAGTGTGAGGAAGCTACTACCGGCTCGGAAAGCAGTTCTGCTGAGAAGAGCCCAAGAGAAACTCAACAGTTGGATCGTATCAAAAATCTATCTATAAAATTAAAAACTATTTACCTTCGTTGTTATTTCTTAGTTTTCTGTCACAATATGTTCATGCTGTTGTGACTTTGACGCTTCATGGTCTCCTCTTTTCGCAAAACATCCGTGTCCAGAAATTTCGATACATTTCTAAAATTGAAATATTTTTTATGGCATTACAAAAGCCAATTTGATATACATAAGTAAAATAATTTTGTAATTATTTTTACAACTTATATAATATTAAATTGTGACTTTCCAGTATGTCAATACTAATCATTTATTCGAGGATGTCTCCTGTATTTTTTATTTATATACCGGCACCGCCACAGTTTGGCAAATTTAATTACTGACTTTTACTCCAGGTCATAGTCCACCTGTGTACAAAATTTCATCCAAATCCGTCCAGACGTTTCAACATGTAAGCATAACGATCATGTGTGACTAACACACATATAAACTTTCTCCTTAGTTTTATTATTAAATTCATACCTCCATACAAATACATATTATAAATGTGGAAATAACTCAGTCTGTTACCTTTGACTGCTTAAACCGCCGCACTGAACGGATTTTCATAAAATTTGGCTACTCTTTATCCCAGACCCAATTACTACTGGACTAAAGCAGCGGGCAAAAACTAGTATGTTAATAATACTTACTTTAAATTTGGGATCAAATTCAAATCCAGCGCTACAGCGTAACGCTATAGTAGTGCCGTCTGAGCATTTGTAAAACCTATCACAATACTCCGGATCTGGTATATTATCAGATAGAGAAGGTGGACAAATCTGTGTCGAATTTACATCAATTTTGGTTGAATTACTTCTTGTAATATCGTCTGTATTCGATAAAGTAACTAAGCCTTTCAATGCATGGCAACCATCTTCAGATATGGGGATACATTGCTGAAAATTAAATTTAAATTAATATTCGCATTATGATAATATCTATTTAAAAATGAGACATTACAACTACTCACTGCTACTTTACTATCAAATTCATATCCTTGTCTACAGTATAAGGGTATAGCACGGCCAGCAACACATTGGAAGAACCTATCGCATCTTTCAGGGTCCGCCATAAAGCCAACAAAATTTGGTGGACATACACTCGGTGTAACTGTCACTGGAGCTATACTTGTGGATTCAGTTATTTTGATAGGTTTGCTAGACGTGGACGAAGGCAGAAGAAAATTATCTGATTCTGAGCTATGTTCATTGTTAGAAGAATCTATTGTTACTTCATTGCTATTCGTTCCAGTATAGGTCGATACTTCGTCAGTAGTTACTTCACTTCCAGTATCATCTTCAGGATTTTTTGAAGTGACGTCGTTATCTATTATAGTTTCCTCTTTGTCTATTGTTGTTCCTTGATTTTGAGAGGCGAAACAACCATTTTCAGAAATAGTCACGCATCGCTAGAAATATTAAAGAGTAAAAAGTAAGTTACAGTAGTAAGGTAACTTTGTTAAGTAATGAAATGTTATAGTAGACTATTAAGATAGAAGCTTCTTCTAATAGCCAAGTATCAATAATACTTATTAATTATATAATTTTTCTAAATAAAAAATCACGGTTCGTATCGAGTGCGAAAACTAAATGTTTCAAATATATATAAAAAATAAATATAGCACTCACCAAAAGTTTAAAATCAAATTCAAAGCCAGCTGGACAATAAAGTGGAATAGGCCGGCCAGCGGCACACTGGAAGAATCTGTCACAATAAATAGGATGAGGAATAACTCCAGAAAACCCTGATGGACATAGATTCGTAGTGGTCGTCTCTACTGATTCTGTTGTAAATTGATCATTTTGAGAAGCTGTTTGAGTAACAATTAATGTTGTTTTGATATCTTCATCATCAGAAATTGTAGATTCATCCGATATATCTTTATGATAAGTAGTTTGTTCTATTATATCATTATTATCTGTGGCATCTGGAGTTGAGCTTTCTCGTGTTTCCTTAGAGGCAAAACATCCATTTTCAGATATTGGAGCGCAATCCTGTAAATATTTGTTGATTTTTAGTTAAAGTTGTTGATGGTAAAATACTATATTATATTTTTTATAAATAAATAAAAGGTTTATTTAAAAAAAATACATTTAAAGACATATGCAAAGACAGCCTTATCACTATAAGCCATCTCTTACAGGAAAGCCATAGAAAAAGTACAAAATAAATATAAAGAAAGAAAAAAAAATCAAGTTACTTAAAACTTAATTTAAATAAACATACATATGTTTATATCTACATACATAAGACGTCATTTTGACAGTTTGCAGCAAGAGTAGACTCAACACTTAGGAGGATAAGATAATAATTCAACAATATATATTTATTATGTGTTTAATGTATTGTATATATGTGATGTTCTCCTGACCGATTCCGGCCACGGCGGCCAATCTCATTAAGATTAGCCAACTGCTTAGGAGATATTATAGTGCACAAATGTACGCGCAGACACTAATGCACTCTCTATCCCTGTCACTCTCATACTCCGGTGGGACGACTGCTCGACACGACCAGTGAGAGTTAAGGCGCAGGACCGACGGTTTTACGTGCTCTCCGAGGCACGGGGGTGAAATTACCAACTCCGGGCTAATAGCCCGGAGTTAAGGGTTTTTTTTGAGAGCTAAGTAATTAAAGCCTACCTATTAAGTATATACCTAATCAAATATTTTCGAAATCGGTGCCAGCCCATACAAAGCAAAGCTCACCGACTTCGAAAATATTTGATTAGGTATGTATAGTATATGAAAACTACCAATCAGTTATCTTTTACTTTTTAGTGCTTTTGTTTGAAGTCGGTTTTTATTTTTGTTTATCTACACAGATAATCATAGTTACATACATACATTGCCAGTGAAATAAAATCTTGTGAAATACAACCACGTGTGAAGCAAAATATTTAGTCTATATAATATTTTGGCACTATTTCATGTTGATATTAGCTATAACTTATTTATAAAGAATATTCTGTAGTTGACGGAATAAGTAACTATCTATCAACGTCTGCTATGTTAGAGGCCGTGGGTTTGGTTTTCGTTTCGGTAAGGTTTATATTGTCCATATATTCTGTTTTAGTCAAGAGCTACATAGCAAATTACCAATATCACCAGATAATATATAAAAACAATATAAACAGTAGAAAAAACGAACTTGTCTTGTTATTTGTTTTTATATAACTTAGGGATCAAAGGTGCTACAAAATATTATAACAATATAAAAACATAAAAAATATTACGTACTTTTATTTCAGGATCAAATTCATAGCCCTCCGTACATGAGAGCAATATGGCACGTCCACCTATGCACGTGTAGTAAAGCTCGCAATTGTCAGGATGCGGTAAGTTTCCGATGAAACCAGGCGGGCAAATACTAGCTTCCGTGGTCGTAGTGGATGCCACTATCGTTGATGCTTGACTGTTTGTTGTTCCATTATCTGGCCAAGTTGTCTCTTGAGTCGTTATAGACGCTAACGACGGATCTGTTGGCATGTTATCAGTAGTTGTTTCACTTCCGGGTTTTGTTGTTTCTTGCATAGTAGTTGACGCTAGAGATGAATCCGTTGATACATTATTATTGGTAGATGTTTCACTTTCAGGCCCTGTAGTCTCTTGAGTGGCAGTTGACACTAATGATGGATCTGTTGATTGATTATCGGTAGACGTATCATCTCCAGGCCCTATAGTCTCTTCAGCAGTAGTTGATGCTTGAGATGTGTCTGTTGATACATTATCTGTAGTGATATCATCCACATCCACATGATTTGTTGTTCTTTGAGTAGAAGTCGTATTTGAGGCTTGTAATGCATAGCAACCATCGTCAGATATGGGCGTACATTCCTAAAATTTAAATGATAATATTAATAGTATATTGACCAACCCACGCTTTTGCGCTTCCATATAAAGTTTCATGAAACAAGCAAGTCCTGCAGATTCCCCAATTTTTGTATTGGGGTAAAAAGAAGGCCGAATGTCATTTCTAACCATACACTATCTTAATGCTAAAAATCACGTTCACGGCGATCAGTTGATTTATTGTTAATTAATTGAATAACTACGTCATATTTATATCAATTTGTCAAGAAACACATTTTCGTATTTTGAATACTATGAGTATCAGTCTTTAGGAAAGTACAATAGTGGTATCGATTAACGTTGTGTAATCTATTTAAATAACACACTAGTACGTACAAACATACTAACACAATAGAAGAAAATAATAAAAAAATATATAAAATAAAACACCTACCATACATATTTTTCGAATGATTTTTAAATCTTTAATTAGTGTATTTTAAAAAAGATTACGCGGAACTGATGGAGTATGTGTCCAGTTGCCACTTTAGACTGCGCCAAATGGTGTGACTTTGATTTGGCATTTCGCGTTAAAGTTTTTATTGACTAGTTACTTAAAGCCATTAAAGCAAAGAACTGAACTGACTAGTTACTTTATACCCAGTGTGTAGATTCTGGCGAAACATAGTAAAAGATTCGGGACTCAGGATTTATACACTTTGTATTAAGGGGATCTCAAAATATTACTTACACTTATCTGTGGATCAAATTCTTGTCCTTCCAAACATGAAAGCAATATTGCACGTCCACCTATACACATATAGTATAGGCCACAATCTTGAGGATGTGGTAAGTTCCCCATGAAACCAGGCGGGCAAATACTAGCCATTGTGGTTATTATATGAGGTGCCTCTGTTGTTAAATTAGTAATTGTTGTTGTCGACGTCTGGTCGCTTGTTGTTTCTTTGTCTACCCAAGTTGTCTCTTGAGCCGTTGTTGATGTAACTGATGGATCTGTTGGTACTTTATCCGTAGTGATTCCATCTTCAGGCCCTGTTACTTCTTCAGTGGTAGTTGACGCTAAAGATGGATCCGTTGATATATTAACAGTAGATGTTTCACCTCCAGGCTTTGCAGTCGTTTGAGTGATTGTCGACGTAAATGATGGATCAGTTGACAAATTATTATTGGTAGATGTTTCACTTTCCGGCCCTGTAGTCTCCTGAATGGTACTTGACGCTAATGATGGATCAGTTGTTTCATTGTTAGTAGATGTTTCACCTGCAGGCTCTGTAGTCTCCTGAATAGTTGTTGACTCTAACGATGGATCTGTTGTTTCAAAATTAGTAGATGTATCGCCTCCAGGCCCTGTAGTCTGTTCAACCGTAGTTGATGTAACTGACGGATTTTGAGTTGTAGATAAAGGCAAATCTGTATCGTCAGTCCTCTCTGAATTTGATGTTGTAATGTCCGTGGTAGTTGTTTGATTTCTAGTTGCGAAACAACCATTTTCAGAAATAGGCACGCATTGCTGAAAATTTTAAACAAAAGATAGAGTATAAATGATAAATGTACAAAATACTGTTATAATCTATTGAAATTACTGATTTAATTAAGTAGAAAGTTCCGATTATACAATATATATATGGTAGAATATGTACATATATAGAACTTACCAGAAGTTTATCATCAAATTCAAATCCAGCTAGACAATAAAGTGGAATAGGCCGTCCAGCAGCGCACTGAAAGAATCTGTCACAATAAATAGGATGAGGAATAACTCCAGAAAATCCTGGTGGACATACATTTGTAGTGGTCGTCTCTATTGATTCTGTTGTACTTTGATAATTTTCAGCGGTTGTTGGTGTAAGAACTGATGTTGATTCAATATCTTCATTACTAGAAGTTGTTAAATAGTCTGAGACATTTTTGCCAAAAGTAGTTTGTTCTGTGATAGTATTATTTTCAGTCGACTCCGAGTCTGTTAATTCAGTCCTAGAATACGTTGACGTCTCTAGGCTTGCAAAACATCCATTTTCAGAAATTGGAACGCATTGCTGTAAATAAAAATGCTCTTGTTATTAAATATTTTTTTTAGATGACTGTAACTTTATAATACTGATAATATAAAATTACTTTTTTGTGAACAATTTATTGAAAATCAAAATATGAACCCTACACAAAAGATGTTTGCTTCAAGCTAATCCAGAGACAAAATTAAAGAGTCTTTATTTGTTGCCGGCTGAGAAAAGATTAAAAATTTTAACATTCTGTATCTAACCAATATCAAGAATATAAACAATAAAAACAAATATTACTAACCTGAACAAGAGGATCAAACTCATACCCACTCATACATGAAAACAATACTGGAAATCCGTTTAAGCACAAGTAGTATTTATCGCAATCTGTAGGATGCGGGAAGTGTCCATTGACACCAGGCAAACAAATACTAGGTGTGGTTGTACCGAGAGTAGTTGATGTTGGGGCCATATTAGTTGTTGATTCACCTGGCGTAGTAGTCTCTTGAATTGTGGTTGACATAATAGATGAATCAGTTGATGGCTGAACAGTTGTGGTTTCTCCTCCCGTAACTGGTGGATCTCCTGTAGGTTCCACAGTCGTCGTATCATATCCTGATGTTGTGGTTTCTTGATCTATTGTCGACGCCATGGAAGAATATGTTGATGACTGAATAGTTGTTGTTTCTCCTCCCGTCACTGTGGTTCCTTGAGAAGTAGTCGTCGTTACTGATGGATCTGTTGTAGGCTCAACGGTCGTTGTATCATATCCTGACGCTGTGGTTTCTGGAACCGTAGTCGACGTTACTGGAGGATTTGTTGTAGGCCTTGTAGTCGTAGATTGTCCTCCTGTAGATGTGGTTTCTGGAGGACTTGTCGTTGGTACAGTAGTAGTTGTTGTCTGCGTAGTTGTTGTTTCCCCTCCTGGCGCTGTAGTTCCTTGAGATGTAGTTGTCGTTACTGTTGGATCTGTTGTAGGCTCATCAGTCGTTGTGTCGTATCCTGACGTCGTGGTGTCTTGAACCGTAGTCGACGTTACTGGAGGAATCGTTGTAGGCGTTATAGTCGTCGATTCTCCTCCCGGAGATGTGGTTTCCTGAGGAGTTGTTGATGGTACAGAACTAGTGGTTGTTGTCTCCGCAGTTGTTGTTTCTCCTCCAGGTACTGTAGTTCCTTGAGAAGTAGTTGTCATTACTGATGGATCTGTTGTAGGCTCATCAGTTGTTGTGTTGTATCCTGACGTTGTGGTTTCTTGAACCGTAGTCGACGTTACTGAAGGAATCGTTGTAGGCGTTGTAGTCGTAGATTCTTCTCCTGGAGATGTGGATTCTTGAGGACTTGTCGTTGGTACAGTAGTAGTGGTTGTTGTCTGCGTAGGTGTTGTTTCTCCTCCTGGCGCTGTAGTTTCTTGAGAAGTAGTTGTCATTACTGATGGATCTGTTGTAGGCCCATCAGTCGTTGTATCATATTCTGGCGTTGTGGTTTCTTGAACCGTAGTCGATGTTACTGGAGGATTCGTTGTTGGCATTGTTGTCGTAGATTCTCCTCCTGGAGATGTGGTTGCTGGAGGACTTGTCGTTGGTACAGAAGTAGTGGTTGTTGTCTGCGTAGTTGTTGTTTCTCCTCCTGGCGCTGTAGTTCCTTGAGATGTAGTTGTCATTACTGATGGATCTGTTGTAGGCTCATCAGTCGTTGTGTCGTATCCTGACGTTGTGGTTTCTTGAACCGTAGGCGACGTTACTGGAGGAATAGTTGTAGGCGTTGTAGTTGTCGATTCACCTCCTGGAGATGTGGTTTCTGGAGTGGTTGTTGATGGTACAGAAGTAGTGGTCGTTGTCTGCGTAGTTGTTGTTTCTCCTCCTGGCGCTGTAGATTCTTGAGAAGTAGTTGTCATTACTGATGGATCTGTTGTAGGCCCATCAGTCGTTGTATCATATTCTGGCGTTGTGGTTTCTTGAACCGTAGTCGATGTTACTGGAGGATTCATTGTTGGCATTGTTGTCGTAGATTCTCCTTCTGGAGATGTGGTTGCTGGAGGACCTGTCGTTGGTACAGATGTAGTGGTTGTTGTCTGCGTAGTTGTTGTTTCTCCTTCTGGCTCTGTAGTTCCTTGAGATGTAGTTGTCGTTACTGTTGGATCTGTTGTAGGCTCATCAGTCGTTGTGTCGTATCCTGACGTCGTGGTGTCTTGAACCGTAGTCGACGTTACTGGAGGAATCGTTGTAGGCGTTATAGTCGTCGATTCTCCTCCCGGAGATGTGGTTTCCTGAGGAGTTATTGATGGTACAGAACTAGTGGTTGTTGTCTCCGCAGTTGTTGTTTCTCCTCCAGGTACTGTAGTTCCTTGAGAAGTAGTTGTCATTACTGATGGATCTGTTGTAGGCTCATCAGTTGTTGTGTTGTATCCTAACGTTGTGGTTTCTTGAACCGTAGTCGACGTTACTGAAGGAATCGTTGTAGGCGTTGTAGTCGTAGATTCTTCTCCTGGAGATGTGGATTCTTGAGGACTTGTCGTTGGTACAGAAGTAGTGGTTGTTGTCTGCGTAGTTGTTGTTTCTCCTTCTGGCGCTGTAGTTCCTTGAGATGTAGTTGTCGTTACTGTTGGATCTGTTGTAGGCTCATCAGTCGTTGTGTCGTATCCTGATGTTGTGATTTCTTGAACCGTAGTCGACGTTACTGGAGGAATCGTTGTAGGCGTTGTAGTCGTAGATTCTCCTCCTGGAGATGTGGATTCTTGAGGACTTGTCGTTGGTACAGAAGTAGTGGTTGTTGTCTGCGTAGTTGTTGTTTCTCCTCCTGGCGCTGTAGTTCCTTGAGATGTAGTTGTCATTACTGATGGATCTGTTGTAGGCTCATCAGTCGTTGTGTCGTATCCTGACGTTGTGGTTTCTTGAACCGTAGGCGACGTTACTGGAGGAATCGTTGTAGGCGTTGTAGTTGTCGATTCACCTCCTGGAGATGTGGTTTCTGGAGTGGTTGTTGATGGTACAGAACTAGTGGTTGTTGTCTCCGCAGTTGTTGTTTCTCCTCCTGGCGCTGTAGTTTCTTGAGATGTAGTTGTCGTTACTGATGGATCTGTTGTAGGCTCATCAGTCGTTGTGTCGTATCCTGACGTCGTGGTGTCTTGAACCGTAGTCGACGTTACTGGAGGAATCGTTGTAGGCGTTGTAGTCGTAGATTCTTCTCCTGGAGATGTGGATTCTTGAGGACTTGTCGTTGGTACAGAAGTAGTGGTCGTTGTCTGCGTAGTTGTTGTTTCTCCTCCTGGCGCTGTAGATTCTTGAGAAGTAGTTGTCATTACTGATGGATCTGTTGTAGGCCCATCAGTCGTTGTATCATATTCTGGCGTTGTGGTTTCTTGAACCGTAGTCGATGTTACTGGAGGATTCGTTGTTGGCATTGTTGTCGTAGATTCTCCTCCTGGAGATGTGGTTGCTGGAGGACTTGTCGTTGGTACAGAAGTAGTGGTTGTTGTCTGCGTAGGTGTTGTTTCTCCTCCTGGCGCTGTAGTTTCCTTGGATGTAGTTGTCGTTACTGATGGATCTGTTGTAGGCTCATCAGTCGTTGTGTCATATTCTGGCGTTGTGGTTTCTTGAACCGTAGTCGACGTTACTGGAGGATTCGTTGTAGGCATTGTTGTCGTAGATTCTCCTCCTGGAGATGTGGTTGCTGGAGGACTTGTCGTTGGTACAGAAGTAGTGGTTGTTGTCTGCGTAGTTGTTGTTTCTCCTCCTGGCGCTGTAGTTTCTTGAGAAGTAGTTGTCATTACTGATGGATCTGTTGTAGGCCCATCAGTCGTTGTATCATATTCTGGCGTTGTGGTTTCTTGAACCGTAGTCGATGTTACTGGAGGATTCGTTGTTGGCATTGTTGTCGTAGATTCTCCTCCTGGAGATGTGGTTGCTGGAGGACTTGTCGTTGGTACAGATGTAGTGGTTGTTGTCTGCGTAGTTGTTGTTTCTCCTTCTGGCGCTGTAGTTCCTTGAGATGTAGTTGTCGTTACTGATGGATCTGTTGTAGGCTCATCAGTCGTTGTGTCGTATCCTGATGTTGTGGTTTCTTGAACCGTAGTCGACGTTACTGGAGGAATCGTTGTAGGCGTTATAGTCGTCGATTCTCCTCCTGGAGATGTGGTTCCCGGAGGAGTTGTTGATGGTACAGAAGTAGATGTTGTTGTCTGCGCAGTTGTTGTTTCTCCTCCAGGTACTGTAGTTCCTTGAGATGTAGTTGTCGTTACTGATGGATCTGTTGTAGGCTCATCAGTTGTTGTGTTGTATCCTGACGTTGTGGTTTCTTGAACCGTAGTCGACGTTACTGAAGGAATCGTTGTAGGCGTTGTAGTCGTAGATTCTTCTCCTGGAGATGTGGATTCTTGAGGAATTGTCGTTGGTACAGAAGTAGTGGTTGTTGTCTGCGTAGTTGTTGTTTCTCCTTCTGGCGCTGTAGTTCCTTGAGATGTAGTTGTCGTTACTGTTGGATCTGTTGTAGGCTCATCAGTCGTTGTGTCGTATTCTGATGTTGTGATTTCTTGAACCGTAGTCGATGTTACTGGAGGATTCGTTGTTGGCATTGTTGTCGTAGATTCTCCTCCTGGAGATGTGGTTGCTGGAGGACTTGTCGTTGGTACAGATGTAGTGGTTGTTGTCTGCGTAATTGTTGTTTCTCCTTCTGGCGCTGTAGTTCCTTGAGATGTAGTTGTCGTTACTGTTGGATCTGTTGTAGGCTCATCAGTCGTTGTGTCGTATCCTGATGTTGTGGTTTCTTGAACCGTAGTCGACGTTACTGGAGGAATCGTTGTAGGCGTTGTAGTCGTAGATTCTTCTCCTGGAGATGTGGATTCTTGAGGACTTGTCGTTGGTACAGAAGTAGTGGTTGTTGTCTGCGTAGGTGTTGTTTCTCCTCCTGGCGCTGTAGTTTCTTGAGAAGTAGTTGTCATTACTGATGGATCTGTTGTAGGCCCATCAGTCGTTGTATCATATTCTGGCGTTGTGGTTTCTTGAACCGTAGTCGATGTTACTGGAGGATTCGTTGTTGGCATTGTTGTCGTAGATTCTCCTCCTGGAGATGTGGTTGCTGGAGGACTTGTCGTTGGTACAGATGTAGTGGTTGTTGTCTGCGTAGTTGTTGTTTCTCCTTCTGGCGCTGTAGTTCCTTGAGATGTAGTTGTCGTTACTGTTGGATCTGTTGTAGGCTCATCAGTCGTTGTGTCGTATCCTGACGTCGTGGTGTCTTGAACCGTAGTCGACGTTACTGGAGGAATCGTTGTAGGCGTTATAGTCGTCGATTCTCCTCCCGGAGATGTGGTTTCCTGAGGAGTTGTTGATGGTACAGAACTAGTGGTTGTTGTCTCCGCAGTTGTTGTTTCTCCTCCAGGTACTGTAGTTCCTTGAGAAGTAGTTGTCATTACTGATGGATCTGTTGTAGGCTCATCAGTTGTTGTGTTGTATCCTAACGTTGTGGTTTCTTGAACCGTAGTCGACGTTACTGAAGGAATCGTTGTAGGCGTTGTAGTCGTAGATTCTTCTCCTGGAGATGTGGATTCTTGAGGACTTGTCGTTGGTACAGAAGTAGTGGTTGTTGTCTGCGTAGTTGTTGTTTCTCCTTCTGGCGCTGTAGTTCCTTGAGATGTAGTTGTCGTTACTGTTGGATCTGTTGTAGGCTCATCAGTCGTTGTGTCGTATCCTGATGTTGTGATTTCTTGAACCGTAGTCGACGTTACTGGAGGAATCGTTGTAGGCGTTGTAGTCGTAGATTCTCCTCCTGGAGATGTGGATTCTTGAGGACTTGTCGTTGGTACAGAAGTAGTGGTTGTTGTCTGCGCAGTTGTTGTTTCTCCTCCAGGTACTGTAGTTCCTTGAGATGTAGTTGTCATTACTGATGGATCTGTTGTAGGCTCATCAGTCGTTGTGTCGTATCCTGATGTTGTGGTTTCTTGAACCGTAGTCGACGTTACTGGAGGAATCGTTGTAGGCGTTATAGTCGTCGATTCTCCTCCTGGAGATGTGGTTTCCTGAGGAGTTGTTGATGGTACAGAACTAGTGGTTGTTGTCTCCGCAGTTGTTGTTTCTCCTCCTGGCGCTGTAGTTTCTTGAGATGTAGTTGTCGTTACTGATGGATCTGTTGTAGGCTCATCAGTCGTTGTGTCGTATCCTGACGTCGTGGTGTCTTGAACCGTAGTCGACGTTACTGGAGGAATCGTTGTAGGCGTTGTAGTCGTAGATTCTTCTCCTGGAGATGTGAATTCTTGAGGACTTGTCGTTGGTACAGAAGTAGTGGTCGTTGTCTGCGTAGTTGTTGTTTCTCCTCCTGGCGCTGTAGATTTTTGAGAAGTAGTTGTCATTACTGATGGATCTGTTGTAGGCTCATCAGTCGTTGTGTCGTATCCTAACGTTGTGGTTTCTTGAACCGTAGGCGACGTTACTGGAGGAATAGTTGTAGGCGTTGTTGTCGTAGATTCTCCTCCTGGAGATGTGGTTGCTGGAGGACTTGTCGTTGGTACAGAAGTAGTGGTTCTTGTCTGCGTAGGTGTTGTTTCTCCTCCTGGCGCTGTAGTTTCTTGAGAAGTAGTTGTCATTACTGATGGATCTGTTGTAGGCCCATCAGTCGTTGTATCATATTCTGGCGTTGTGGTTTCTTGAACCGTAGTCGATGTTACTGGAGGATTCGTTGTTGGCATTGTTGTCGTAGATTCTCCTTCTGGAGATGTGGTTGCTGGAGGACTTGTCGTTGGTACAGATGTAGTGGTTGTTGTCTGCGTAGTTGTTGTTTCTCCTTCTGGCGCTGTAGTTCCTTGAGATGTAGTTGTCGTTACTGTTGGATCTGTTGTAGGCTCATCAGTCGTTGTGTCGTATCCTGACGTCGTGGTGTCTTGAACCGTAGTCGACGTTACTGGAGGAATCGTTGTAGGCGTTATAGTCGTCGATTCTCCTCCCGGAGATGTGGTTTCCTGAGGAGTTGTTGATGGTACAGAACTAGTGGTTGTTGTCTCCGCAGTTGTTGTTTCTCCTCCAGGTACTGTAGTTCCTTGAGAAGTAGTTGTCATTACTGATGGATCTGTTGTAGGCTCATCAGTTGTTGTGTTGTATCCTAACGTTGTGGTTTCTTGAACCGTAGTCGACGTTACTGAAGGAATCGTTGTAGGCGTTGTAGTCGTAGATTCTTCTCCTGGAGATGTGGATTCTTGAGGACTTGTCGTTGGTACAGAAGTAGTGGTTGTTGTCTGCGTAGGTGTTGTTTCTCCTCCTGGCGCTGTAGTTTCTTGAGAAGTAGTTGTCATTACTGATGGATCTGTTGTAGGCCCATCCGTCGTTGTATCATATTCTGGCGTTGTGGTTTCATGAACCGTAGTCGACGTTACTGGAGGAATCGTTGTAGGCGTTATAGTCGTAGATTCTCCTCCTGGAGATGTGGATTCTTGAGGACTTGTCGTTGGCACAGAAGTAGTGGTTGTTGTCTGCGTAGTTGTTGTTTCTCCTCCTGGCGCTGTAGTTCCTTGAGATGTAGTTGTCGTTACTGTTGGATCTGTTGTAGGCTCATCAGTCGTTGTGTCGTATCCTGATGTTGTGATTTCTTGAACCGTAGTCGACGTTACTGGAGGAATCGTTGTAGGCGTTGTAGTCGTAGATTCTCCTCCTGGAGATGTGGATTCTTGAGGACTTGTCGTTGGTACAGAAGTAGTGGTTGTTGTCTGCGTAGTTGTTGTTTCTCCTCCTGGCGCTGTAGTTCCTTGAGATGTAGTTGTCATTACTGATGGATCTGTTGTAGGGTCATCAGTCGTTGTGTCGTATCCTGACGTTGTGGTTTCTTGAACCGTAGGCGACGTTACTGGAGGAATCGTTGTAGGCGTTGTAGTCGTAGATTCTCCTCCTGGAGATGTGGTTGCTGGAGGACTTGTCGTTGGTACAGATGTAGTGGTTGTTGTCTGTGCAGTTGTTGTTTCTCCTCCAGGTTCTGTAGTTCCTTGAGATATAGTTGTCGTTACTGATGGATCTGTTGTAGGCTCATCAGTCGTTGTGTCGTATCCTGACGTTGTGGTTTCTTGAACCGTAGGCGACGTTACTGGAGGAATCGTTGTAGGCGTTGTAGTCGTAGATTCTTCTCCTGGAGATGTGGTTGCTGGAGGACTTGTCGTTGGTACAGAAGTAGTGGTCGTTGTCTGCGTAGTTGTTGTTTCTCCTCCTGGCGCTGTAGTTTCTTGAGAAGTAGTTGTCATAACTGATGGATCTGTTGTAGGCCCATCAGTCGTTGTATCAGGTTCTGGCGTTGTGGTTTCTTGAACCGTAGTCGATGTTACTGGAGGATTCGTTGTTGGCATTGTTGTCGTAGATTCTCCTCCTGGAGATGTGGTTGCTGGAGGACTTGTCGTTGGTACAGATGTAGTGGTTGTTGTCTGCGCAGTTGTTGTTTCTCCTCCAGGTTCTGTAGTTCCTTGAGATGTAGTTGTCGTTACTGATGGATCTGTTGTAGGCTCATCAGTCGTTGTGTCGTATTCTGACGTCGTGGTGTCTTGAACCGTAGTCGACGTTACTGGAGGAATCGTTGTAGGCGTTGTAGTCGTAGATTCTTCTCCTGGAGATGTGGATTCTTGAGGACTTGTCGTTGGTACAGAAGTAGTGGTCGTTGTCTGCGTAGTTGTTGTTTCTCCTCCTGGCGCTGTAGTTTCTTGAGAAGTAGTTGTCATAACTGATGGATCTGTTGTAGGCCCATCAGTCGTTGTATCATATTCCGGCGTTGTGGTTTCTTGAACCGTAGTCGATGTTACTGGAGGATTCGTTGTTGGCATTGTTGTCGTAGATTCTCCTCCTGGAGATGTGGTTGCTGGAGGACTTGTCGTTGGTACAGATGTAGTGGTTGTTGTCTGCGCAGTTGTTGTTTCTCCTCCAGGTTCTGTAGTTCCTTGAGATATAGTTGTCGTTACTGATGGATCTGTTGTAGGCTCATCAGTCGTTGTGTCGTATCCTGACGTTGTGGTTTCTTGAACCGTAGGCGATGTTACTGGAGGATTCGTTGTTGGCATTGTTGTCGTAGATTCTCCTCCTGGAGATGTGGTTGCTGGAGGACTTGTCGTTGGTACAGATGTAGTGGTTGTTGTCTGCGTAGTTGTTGTTTCTCCTCCTGGCGCTGTAGTTCCTTGAGATGTAGTTGTCGTTACTGATGGATCTGTTGTAGGCTCATCAGTCGTTGTGTCGTATCCTGACGTTGTGGTTTCTTGAACCGTAGGCGACGTTACTGGAGGAATCGTTGTAGGCGTTGTAGTCGTAGATTGTTCTCTTGGAGATGTGGATTCTGGAGTGACTTGTTGATGGTACAGAACTAGTGGTTGTTGTCTCCGCAGTTGTTGTTTCTCCTCCTGGCGCTGTAGTTTCTTGAGAAGTAGTTGTCATTGCTGATGGATCTGTTGTAGGCCCATCAGTCGTTGTATCATATTCTGGCGTTGTGGTTTCTTGAACCGTAGTCGATGTTACTGGAGGATTCGTTGTTGGCATTGTTGTCGTAGATTCTCCTCCTGGAGATGTGGTTGCTGGAGGACTTGTCGTTGGTACAGATGTAGTGGTTGTTGTCTGCGTAGTTGTTGTTTCTCCTCCTGGCGCTGTAGTTCCTTGAGATGTAGTTGTCGTTACTGTTGGATCTGTTGTAGGCTCATCAGTCGTTGTGTCGTATCCTGATGTTGTGGTTTCTTGAACCGTAGTCGACGTTACTGGAGGAATCGTTGTAGGCGTTGTAGCTGTCGATTCACCTCCTGGAGATGTGGTTTCTGGAGTGATTGTTGATGGTACAGAACTAGTGGTTGTTGTCTCCGCAGTTGTTGTTTCTCCTCCTGGTGCTGTAGTTTCTTGAGATGTAGTTGTCGTTACTGATGGATCTGTTGTAGGCTCATCAGTCGTTGTGTCGTATCCTGACGTCGTGGTGTCTTGAACCGTAGTCGACGTTACTGGAGGAATCGTTGTAGGCGTTGTAGTCGTAGATTCTTCTCTTGGAGATGTGGATTCTTGAGGACTTGTCGTTGGTACAGATGTAGTGGTTGTTGTCTGCGTAGTTGTTGTTTCTCCTCCTGGCGCTGTAGTTTCTTGAGAAGTAGTTGTCATTACTGATGGATCTGTTGTAGGCCCATCAGTCGTTGTATCATATTCTGGCGTTGTGGTTTCTTGGACCGTAGTCGACGTTACTGGAGGATTCGTTGTTGGCATTGTTGTCGTAGATTCTCCTCCTGAAGATGTGGTTGCTGGAGGACTTGTCGTTGGTACAGATGTAGTGGTTGTTGTCTGCGCAGTTGTTGTTTCTCCTCCAGGTTCTGTAGTTCCTTGAGATATAGTTGTCGTTACTGATGGATCTGTTGTAGGCTCATCAGTCGTTGTGTCGTATCCTGACGTTGTGGTTTCTTGAACCGTAGGCGACGTTACTGGAGGAATCGTTGTAGGCGTTGTAGTTGTCGATTCACCTCCTGGAGATGTGGTTTCTGGAGTGGTTATTGATGGTACAGAAGTAGTGGTTGTTGTCTGCGCAGGAGTTGTTTCTCCTCCTGGCAATGTCGTTTCTTGAGCTGTTGACGCTTCTGATGTGCTGGTACTGGTTGGTTGAATAGGGCAGTCCACTAAATTTGGCCAATTGCAAACCTATAAATTATAATTGATTTTAATAAATCAGTTATTATCTTGTATTGGGTATTACTTAAATTATAAGTCAATGATAAAGATAAGATAATAATATGGTTCTTTAATTATTTTGTTAATTTATTCACATGTCTTCGTATTGCTAGTTTTATGCCGCAATACACTTAGAAAAATTTATTTTTTTAATATTACAAAGCTTAAAAAATTACCTGGTAATAATTATAAACATACCTGTAGCTTGGCGTCAAAATATGTTCCAGGGGCACAATTCCTTACAACTTTTTGACCAAAATTACAATAATAAAATTTTTCACAATCTGTTTCATGAGGAAGAAGTAAATGTATGCTAAAATCTAGAGGACATCCATTTGGCAATACTTCAATTTCAGGTTTAGTTATGGTATCAATTTCGGTAGTTCCCTCGGTACTTCCTTCAGTAGTTCCTGGGGAAGACCCATTATTTATGCATTGGACATTACTCGGCCAGTCACATGTCTGCAAGTCAGTAGAAAATAATTTGTAATATATGTACTTACTAGCAACTTTTTAGATAATGATGATGAGAGAAATAATGATGAGAGAAAACTGAGGTAAACATTGTAAATGTTATGATATGCGCTTGAAATATTAATGCATATAACTCAAAACAAACCTTTTAAAAGCTGTTTTATTTGTTTTTCCCAGAAGGTATCTGGGAGAAACAAAGAAATATCTAGCGAGATTCAAACACAAGCTTTGTCAAAACATACATTATTTTATATTATTTGTGTAGTATGTACCTTCATTTTGTTTGAGTTTTTCTCTTTTTTTCGTGAATTTTTCCGATGTTTTAAATTACGTAGTTATTCTGCTATTCGAAGTGGAGACAAATCCAACAAATCAAAGATCATAATAATTATGAATAAAAATTATAAAAAAACCCTACGCAAATTAATTGTCATTTAACAATTACACTGGCATGCGTGAAGCACTTAATCGAGTAATCATACGCCAAAATGCCTTACATCATTTTCGAAAAGAGCTGATACTCTTACACTGCTGGACCCATATTAACCATACATAGCTAAGAACCACCGCAAGAAAACTGGCTTTCAAATGAAAAAAAAACCGCATCAAAGTCGGTCCATCCGTTTGAGAGCTACGATACCACAGACAAACACACATATACACACCCAAACACACAGTCAGACATCGACGTCAAACTTATAACACCCCTCTTTTTGCGTCGAGGGTTACTATTAGGTTCAACCGTTTTTGAATTATAAATGGTGTAAATAACTCTACTTATATACGAGTATATATGATTGTAGAACGCACCTGTATTTCAAAATTAAAATATAAGCCCGGCGCACAGGCCATTTCAACTTTTATTCCAAAATTGCAGGTGTAAAATTTCGTACAATCTGCCTCATGAGGAAGTAGATGGTGCACGTGAAAATCAGCAGGACATCCGTTTGGTAATGCTTCAAATTTAGGCGTTTTTCCAATAATACTTTCGACACTTCCCTCAGCACTTCTTTTAATTCGTGGAGAATCATGTAGACATCGAACATTTTCCGGATGGTCACATTTCTGAAAGTTCCAAAAAAGAAATCATAATAAAAAATTTCAAGATGTTTTAAATTAAAAAGGAAAAAGAGTTTAAAGTAAAAGAAAAAGATTTTTTTCAAACATAATTATTTAATGAATAATCGATAAATCGAACAAATGTGATTTGTTACTTAATTAGTTAATGATATTTATTAATGATCATATAATACTATAAGTTAATAGTATAATATTTTATAAAAGAATTGTAATAGCATACCTGTTTTTCAAAATTAAAGTGCAAGCCTGCACTACAGATCATTGCAAACTTAATCCCGAAATTGCATTTGTAGTATTTCGCACAATCCGTCTCATGAGACAGTAGGCGATGATCTTGAAAATCGGCAGGACATCCATTTGATAAAAATAGTCTGACGTCATCCTTTCTACACTTCACATTTCTTGCTTCGTTACAATGCTAAAACATTTAACAGATTATTTTCAAGCAAGAAAAACTTATATTCTACTAAACACAGACTACTAATCCATACAGTGACCTTACAACGAAGGTGTCTAGAGAAGTAAGTACTCCTGAACTGTCATATCATACGTACTTATATAGGACAGTCGGAAGAACGCTTTAACTTGCCACGATATAGCGCAACAGATTTTCTTTTTGGTTTCAAAATTAAGTACATATATATAAATAAATAAATAAATATTTTTTACAAATTGCATTTGGCGGGAATTCCGTTAAAATCAAATATGGAATCAAGTATGGATTATTATATTGACTTAAAATCCTATATACAATCAAATAAATCACGCTAACTCATCAGGACAAACATATAAACAATTAAAGTACCTACGTGAAGACATACATCACACTCACACTCACTTACCATACAGCTTACCTTGGCTGAAACATTGTGAGCCCCGCTCCTAATAAGTGGCATATTATTTTGGTAAGTATTTTTTTTATTTATTATGCAATATCCTGATGGACTAGCGCGATCAAGACATAATATTTTACGAAATAACTTTACAAAAATACTAAATTTATTTCAATAAATGTGATAAAACTCGTATCTAAGTAAATCTTAAAGTAGTAGTACTCTAAGTGTAAAATAAAATAAAAGTAAAGCTATTTTTAATGTAAGTAGGAAAATAGATGTATTTTTACTAGATAATATATTTTAGAACAAGTTATATAAAAAGAAGAATGATAAACAAAAGTTAGTCAATTTTCCTGAAACAATGCTAGTGATAATAGTTAATAACACAGATATTTTGAATGACGTACTTTATTAAGTTAAAATTTACAAATGTTTCTTCCATTACTGGTATAATTTGCTAAAATATAAAAATAAATTTATAGAACACATAAGCAACAGTCATTGTTTGGGATTAATAATGTTTTTTTTTAATTAAAAAAAAAACAATTAAACAATAGAAGCGTGGATGACTTAAAGTGTTTAAATATAACATCTTCTCTAAGCGCCCAGTCTTTTTAGAAAACAAGTGTTGGAAAACGGTCACAAGAGAGCTGGCTCATTATTGGCTCAAAAATTCTACATTGCGGTTCTATAAAAACGTTGCTAGCATTTTTATAACAATCCGCACACACTAAGTTATTATTAATGGCGGATCCCAATAACCTATATATATATATATATATATATATATATATATATATATATATATATATATAATATCCGTGGTTTTCCTTACTAAAGGTAGATATATGACGTAAGTTTCATACAAATCATGTCACAAAAACCTTATTCAGATTAATACAAATATTTTAAAATAAAAATAAGCTAAATTAGTCCAGCCGTTCTCTAGTTAAGCGCTTACCAACTAACAGCACTATATTTTTATTTATAATATAATAATTTGTTTAATTACATAATATAGCATTAGAATTCATTTTATTACGTTTTAGTAAATAATCTTATATTTTGTAACATTTACAATATATTGATCAAAGGTTTGTTTTTGATATCGATCTGATGAGCCACGGCGGCACTTTTGTTCCATTTTCGAGACTATACAGCTACCATATCTTTATAAATCTATCATTTTAAGCAAATCATATCACTTTTAGTAGAGTAATTATAATTTTGTGATTCTACGATAAGATTTAAAAGCAATATCTGTAAATTGTATCAACTGTTTAGTGTATTATGTCTGAAAGATAAACACAAAATATCTAATATTTTCTTTGATTTTTATCTTTGCTAGTATTACAAACGCGAAGGTATTTCTGATTTTCAGCTATTACATATTTAAAATAAATAGCTTTTCGTTACTAAAACACATAATTAAATAGTTTCTTTGCATTGTTGGGTTCGACAAGGCGATATAGAACAAGAGTTGATAGAGTGCGGATGAAAATTGATTATTACTCGAGTCAATATCTTTTACTTAATCTCTTGAACCAATTTGAAGTTTTTACGGTTTTATAATTATACAATATAATATTAGAAATCAAAGTATTGTTTAGTAACAAAGAATTAGAATAAGTACCTAGTAATTATTCCTAAACAATTGACAAAGCTTACGTGTTCTTTCGAAAAAAATCTAAGCAACTATCAATATAATATAAATAAATGAATGAATGAAAATCTCAAAAAGAAATCTACACATTTTCTCAACGATTTTACTGTTTTGCTAATTTTCTAATTGTGATTCCGATATTTTTTTTTATATTTCATCTGCAAATCAAAGTCAAAGGATTCTCCAATTGGACATTTCAATAATAATTTTATGCCATCACTACAATTATAATATTTATCGCAATCTACTTCGTGCGGTATTTCCATAATAATTCTAAAGTCTGGTGGACAATCATCAGGTGTTGTTGGTCTAGATGTTGTTGTAGTTGTTGTTGTTGTTGTTGTTGATGGTTGCTGGGTTGTTGTTGTTGATACTGGTGTGGTTGTTTCTGTTGTTGATGAAGGTACTGTTGTTATTGATGGTGGTTTTATTGTCGTTGATGATAATGGTGGTGGTGTTGTTGTTGTTGTTGATGTCGTCGTCGTTGTTGATATTGTTGTTGTTGTAGTCGTTTGAGGGTAGCAATCAACAGAGCTTGCCCATTCGCAAATCTGTGAAAGAATATTGTTTGTGTTATATGTATGTAAGTAGTTTTGTTACAGTTTGATTTAAGTAAATACGCATGATATGATAAATTTTATAATGTTGTCTCATCTTTCTTTTTATTTTCTAAACTTATATTAAATTGCGTTCAATCCTAACTAGAGCATCAATGTTTGTTTGTATAGTGTACTGATCTCCAGAACGACTAAAACGATTATAATTGAATTTTCAGAGGCGAATAGAGAATTTAATCCTGATTGCCACATATTACCGTAGAAAAGAGAAGTGATTCCCGCATGATTAAATGAATATTTTCCCTAAAACTTAATAACTTGTACAAAGCGCAAGTAATATTTATTAAAGAACCGTTGGAAATGGTTGTGTTTTATAAATATCTAAATTAAAACTACTTTTTCTAAGCCACGCAACGGATATTGATACGGCTTTAACTTATAAAAAGTACTATAAACGAGGGTTTGTGTATATTTTATAAATATATATAATTTGTAAATATTTTGTAAATAATGACTGAACCTAGACAGTGCTATGTCAGAAAACCTGTCGTACGATTACATGGCTAACGCTGGCTAATACATCAAAACAATGTACCAGAAAATTGTAGTTCTTAAAAACGCCAGTAGGAAAGTTCGTGATAGTATGAGTGTACCTCCTACGGTACGCTCACAATAACTATTTTTATCTACTTTATAAAACTTACCTATGGACGCACCTGAACGAAGCAAGGGTAGATCGTTAGTGTTAAATAAATAAAACAATTACCTGTAAGTTCACATCAAACAGTGTCCCTATAGGACATCGCATGAGGACTTTGTTTCCATTGCTACATTGATAAAATGTAGAACAGTCGGTCTCGTGAGCAAGAAGTGCCTGGATTTCAAAGTCTGATGGACATCCATTGGGCAAAGTGCTTGCCTGGCTGTGGCCAAGCAGCAGAAGAAATATTAATATTATCATATCTGTAAAAAAATACAAGTCACATTAACTTTTTTTACTTAACAATGTTTATGAAGAAATTAATGATTTGATTAAGAGAAAAAATTCAAAGACGATGCGAAAAATTGTTTGATGGATCACCTTTATCCTTATTGTCAGTGTTTTAAAATGTTTGAACAATAAAATCAGATACGTTAGGACCTAAGTAATAGAAGTACAGAAATCTCAATCTCAATAAGGTAAATCAGATATTTATCTTAATTTTTATTATATTAAAAATCTTTTTTTGTTTTCCAGCATTAAGGGCAGTGGATAAAATCTTTTCTTTGGTCATTCAAGGTTTACAATGGCAGTGGTACTACTTTATAATTACAGACCGACTGTGCAATTATATGAAAATATATACATAATTATGTAGATAGGTTACAGATTTTAAATTTTTTTCAACGTTGTCATCAAGAATGCTGTCATATTTAAAAATATTGGTTTTCATATATGTCACTTTTATCGGTAATTATAAGTTTCTGAGAAACACTGACGTCTTAAGATAATGCTACCTGTGTACATTAATTTCAATGTTTTATTATTAGATAGGGTTATCTTTAGAACGAACATAATTTTATTTTTAATTAGTTTTATAAGTAAAATAAAAGTATGTTTTCGCTTAAGAATAACATTGCGATAGTAATCAAGTGCATAAGTTAGCCGTTTGTAAAGCTGCCGTCATGATTGTATCTCAAAAACACTAATTATTTTCGTGTTTCGATCAGATTGTATCTTTATATGATTGAGATGAAAGTCCATTATGATATAAGTTCCCCGATCCTCTAATTATGTATTACTATATCTTTATAATTTATCACCAATGTTACTCTGACGTATAAGCTATATTCTTATTACTGTTTTATCAAAATCCGTTCAGTGGTTTTTGCGTGAAAGAGGAACAAATATCCATCCATCCTCACAAACTTTCGCGTTTACTATATCAGTAGGATAGACACATTACTTAAAGTCAAACTAAAGATATATTCTGGATTATTTAAAATATTCTTGTTACAATAATTCAGCACTCTTCTATGCGAAGGGGAAAAGCCCTTGGTATTAGTTTTAAAAAAGATTCGATAATATCAGAACTTTCGCAATTCCCTGCTTTGAGTTCGCTACTTTTGGATTTTTGGGTTTCCAAGCGAGTGCATACCAATCAGTGACCAGTGAGAGTTGAGGCGCGGGACCGACGGCTTTACGTGCTCTCCGAGGCACGGGGGTGAAATACCGCCAACTTCCCAACTCCAGGCTGTTACTGAGACTTACTATACAGAAAGACTCAATAACTAAACTTGGCCCGACCCGGGATTCGAACCCAGGACCTCCGAGTGTGCCGCCGTACATGCTAGCCACTACACCACTGAGGCAGTCGAATAACAATATACATATTATTATGATTTATAGATAAGTAGTTGCAGTCTTCAGATAATACGTCAAGACAAACGTCTACAGTAGGTACGCCTACGATCTCTATGATTTGTTTTTAATCCTCACAAGCTCCACCCACTTCGTCAGCTTTAACTAAATACCTATTTATTATTATTGATTGCTATTTACTATTTTTAATGAAATTATCTTTTCGGATGCCGCAGTTTTATTTTATATTTTTGTTTCCGACGTTTCGTTCGAATGGTTTACAGAGAACATGGTCACGAGAGAGACTATTTGCACTTGATTGTAAGGCATTCGAAGCATCGGTTAAAAAATTATAAAGCAAAATCACGATGAAATCGGAAATGATAGTTTTATTTATAATCTTACTACTATATATATATAAATATGAAAGTTTGGATGGATGGATGTTTGTTACTCAATCAGGCCAGAACGACTGAACGTATCTTGATGAAATTTGACACAGACATAGATTATAGTCTTGTATAGCAGAGGAATGGCCAAAAAATATACGGTTTTAGTGGGGTAGACTTGTTTTTGTTTTTCACTAGGGACAAGCCCGAGCAAAGCGAGGGTGAGCCACTATTGTCAAATATTCGCGTAAATCTAAGAAAGTACTTAGTTATTTTCTTGGGGTGTGCCACAAGGCATGAAATTGCCGTTTTAACGATTTAAGGCTGCCGCTTGCATACTCTCTACTAGGGGTTTATCTTCGATCTATACTATAAGCATAATTTTACTATAAACAAAAGCCTAGTCTCTCGTAATAGAGTAGTGCAGTCTGTTTCGGTAAGCCTGTCATCGGGGCGTCGTGCGTAAGCGATCGAAAGTGTTCGAAAAAGGCCGCCAAATGTATGATGGTACTTTCTACAAGTCTTTTACTTTCGATTAATACAAATTTGTCACAAGAAAAGTCTTCTTTTACTTAAAAAAAAACAAATTAAAAATATATACATACATACATCTCGCGACAAGGATGGAACGTGTATGTCTCCGACTGCCTAATACTATATTCCTTCGTCAACTTGTTTTCATTTTTTAGACCTAATCTCTTTAAATATCTTTTAAGTTTCATAATATAGTAAAGAGATTCATGCCCGATTTCACCAATGACCCATAAGCTGCCATGATCATACCTATGTATGGGATCCCTAGCTTAAAAGTCGTCTAAACTAGCCACTAAATTAAATTTCGTTTCACGATCGTCTTTAAGCCCATATTTCGAGCACCTAAATTTAGGGGGCATTTTAATATTTAGGTGACCCCTAACTGTCGATGAAACAGAAACTGTTCCCTAACAGCCCCCTAACACTGCTTAGGGGATCCCAGACTCAGACAGCAAATCACGCTACTATTTTTGTCATTTATTTTGACGGACATCATCTATTATCTGAGGTAAAGATGTTGATTATAAGTTTGTTATACTTACAATATACAAATTTCAACATAAAATATTGCCGGAAGTCACGAAGCAAGTACTATATCGCTTAATCTATTTAAACGTGTCAGACAGCACGGCGACGTGATATTGCAGATTATAGAATATATAGATTGAATTCATTTGAAATTAGATATTTTATTAATTAATTATTTTTTAACGACCTGGCGGGATAGATACTTTATTGTACACCACAAAAATAGCGCGCTCTGATATTTACACGTGTGAATCATTTCCAATTACCACTTGTTTGACGGAAAACACCGTGAGGAACCCTGCATGTCTGAGAGAACTTAGCAAGTCTTCAAAGACATGTAAAGTCCGCCCGTACTTGACGTGGTGGACTATGACCTGATCATCCTCGTACTGCAGGGATGCCCACCCACAGCAGTGGGACGTTAAAAAGAGATGAATAAATAGACACATCTAAAGAAATAAACAAATCGATGATACACAGAGTCACAGACGACGGCCTTATCGCTATGCGCGATCTCTTCCAGGCAACTTTAGGGCATAGGAGATACATAAATACATACATAAATACTTACATACATATACAAATACATACATAAAGAATAAGGGAAGACTTACGTCTTTATGTGAGAGGACGGGGATTTGAGTCCTGCGAGCATTATATTTATATTGACAAATTTACAGCCCAAATTATATATTATGCTCTAAAATATAGATTTAAAACAGAAACTAAAATTGGATTATTTTTTACTCTTAACAAAATAAGAGGTAAACTTAGAAAAATATTATAAACTTGTAAGTAAAATTAATTAGGTAAGAACTGTTCTTAATAATTATTGGATTTCGGAGTATTGTACTGGTAAATGCAAACGTTTTTATGTGTGTATGTTCGTTACTCGTTCAACCTAGATGGATTCAGATTATGACCGAGAGTAATACATACGGGCTATTGTGACGTACTGTGATGTGAGTCCAATAAGATAAGTGGGAGTAAGTCACTAGTTAATTTGTATGTACCAATGACGTAACGAATATTTGCATTCGCATTCGCAAATATTCGCATTCGCAATCGCGAATATTCGCATGTTTTTGACATTCGTATTCACAAGAAACGATGCAAATGTTTGGTGAATGTGTTTGACAAACAAAAAGGAAATTGTAATATATGGAGTTAATGGATATGGAATGATAATACAACTGTGCTTTACTCATGTTTATACGTCACTTTGTCATTATTAAATAGGTATAGTTAAATTTGACAAGTACAATAATACTAAACTAACTTCAATCACAACAAATCTTTTTGAATAAACTTTATGTGGCTAATTATTTATTCAACCTGTATCGGCTATGTTCAGTTTAAACATGGCCATGGCGTTAACATTTTGCGCGCGCTTTATTTGAAAGTCAACATTCGCATTCGCATTCGCAAGTAGTAGACATGAATATTCGCATTCGCAATGTGAAAAATCGAATATTCGTTACATCACTAATGTATATGTACATAGATAACTATAACTAATGCTTACTAATGTTCGCCCAGCGGTCGAAATTAGACCATAATCATTATTAAAAGTTTATAAACAATAACACTGAAATATTTTATCTTTACTTTCTATATAAAAAAAAACCGTTTCCAATTTTTTTTGATAACAAGTCTCGTCAGACAGATAGAGTAGAAAAAATTACTGAATTGTTTTGTCTTTACCTATTTAAATATAAATTTGTCGAGATCTGCGTTTATGTATGTCCGTTTGTTATGCTTAATGGATTCCTAATAAGATGCGAATCATTGGAAGCTCTTAAAAGAGGAGGTACTCTATTTCAACGGGTACCTAGTTGGTGTATACTATGCGATATCTGCTGGAAGCACAAGTGAATGGATTTTTACGATTGTTTTTTTCAATAAACCAGTTTTGCCCTAAGGTAAAAGTTTTAAAATGTGTACAAAAACATTCAAAGAAAAAACCAATTTAAAGGATATAATAATCACTACTAAAGTTTCTCATGGAAATTAAAATAAACAACTTGTATCTCACAGTATTTTGTAGGCCAAGAACTACTTTATTTGTACAGCAGTTGTCAATACAAAACTTTGCTAATATGTAATTTTAAATCGTATCAGTACATACATATATTGACGTCAATTTATATTTACGTAATACGAAAATTA